CTGCCAGGCCTCGGATAGGTGAGAAAGCTTTCTGGAAGACAAATAAAGTCCCACACACTATGCAATTTCAGGAGGCTTCCCCCTTGCAGTTCTTACCACACAGTAGAAGCTCAACAAACATTGGCTGACTGGAGGTGTCTAAGTCCTGGGGGAGTCCTAGCAGAAATCCATCAGCTGGAGGCATGTCGATGGCTGTCTCTGTTCTGGCTGCCATTGCAAGGCATGTCACTTAAATAAACTCATGACTCTCTACTTCTGACTATTTAGATTCTATGTCGTTTTTCTCTTCTTCTGCTTATAGTTCTCTCGTTTCCCATCTCCTTTCATTCTTCTTCTTTTCCTGCAGGAACTCCACCTTTTGTGTGCATATCCTATCATCAGAGACATTGCCTTGTCATTACATAATAGTGTTGGGGACAATACCTATTGATGGTGATTTCAGAAGCTAAGGAAGCCTCACACTGCCACATCCTCTAGTGATTATATGCAGTGTACATACAGTTAAAACTCAGCTTTTGGATAATTTATATACCTCTAGCAATAAAACTTTATAACTTCAATCAAAACTTAATATACTTGAGTGTTTACTGCAATCAAGATCAATGTTAAGATTGCTGAAGGCTACAAAAATAGCAAGAGTGCATGTCTAGTCATATTTGCAATATAAATACAGCAATTTTAACCAATAGCAGAAAAAAATTTTAGCTGGGAGATAGAAGGAATTAATAGTTAAGCTATTAATAGGGTTGATTTAACAGCAGTTAAATAACAGTGGCTACAAAATTACTTAAGCCTGGGAGTGTAGCTAGGGGCCCAGCATTTGTCCAGCATTCACAAACCCTAGATCTGAGTTCTGAAAAAAATGTATTGAGTCAGAAGTAATTAACTCATTTCTTAAATATGTGTTGAGTTCCCACTGAACGTCAAGCCCTAAATGCCCTAAATGCTGGGCACACAACAGGCCCACTCTTGCCTTAAGGAACTCAGACAAGTAAGAAATATGTAGGTTTGTACCCCAGAAAAATTGAATTGCTGTCCATTAAAATGGGGTATATAGCAGCAGTCTTTGGGATATATGAAATGCACAGTTATCATAGAAAACCAGTTTAGATTAAAGTATCCAGAAGGCAGCTGCATATATAGATGTGACTATCAAGAGAGAAAGGGAGCCTGTGGGAGCTAGAGGGATCTTGAAGCAGGACCCTCAGCACAGGTGACAATCTGCAGCCTCGTGGAAAAGACAATAAGGTGGCTCATACAACATGGAGCCACAAACCAGACAGAGCCCTGTTCTTCCAGGAGGACCCGCAAGGAGAAGGAGGAAATGGAGGGAAACTAGGTTAGCAAATATTATGAAAACAACAGGCAAAGAGTGCTTTAAGGAAGACCAAACATGTCTACGAGGTTAAACAAAATGGCGGCTGAGACTAGGCTGGTGGAAGGAGCTGGGCAAGGAAGACATAGAAATGCAAGAGATGTTTTGTTTGCAATGAACACAAAAGAATAGTTTCCGAAGTTAAGTCCAACAGCAAGAGATCTATGCTTGCCAAACCATGGCAGGAGGAGTCAGTACAAAGGAAGACACTAAGTGGAGGCAGAGAGAGGGTCAAGTTCCTGAGGGTTGTGGTTAAGGTGGAAAATGGAAACCACTTTCCATGCATGGGGGGTGGTACCATGTTTCTTCTCATCATGCAGACACACAGGGAGAGACAGGAGGTGATATGATGTGAGAGATGCTTTTAAAATACCAACGACCAGACACATGGCAATCTGAGTACTCAGGAGGCTGAGGAATGATCACAAGTTCAAGGTCAGACTGGACAATTTAATGAGATTCCCATTTTCTAAACAAATAAACAGATAAGGGTTGGGGTGTGGCTTTGTGTTAGAGCACTTGCCCAATATGCATGAGGCCTTGGGAAGAAAGGGGCAGAGAGGGAGGGAGGGAGGAGGAAAAGCAGTGGGAGTGTGCGTGCGCATGAAGGTTAGGGTGAACTATGCATTCCTTGCTAATAAAAACATTAAATGTTTACATTTGGGATAACTAAAGAGATAGTTCAGAAAAGTCTCCTCTGACTTGCTAAAGTACCTGAATTCATTTCCCAGCATCCATATCAAGTGGTCTACACAGCCTTTAGCTCCAGCTCCAAGGGATTTGATGATTTTTTTGTCCTGTGGGGCACTTGTACATATGTATAAGTGATACACACACATGTAGTTGTTTTTGTTTGCTTGTTTGTTTTTTACTCTATGTTCTTTTGGGGGAACCCTCTACCCAACTCACAAATAAATCACACTGAGACTTATTATTTCTTATAAATGCCTGGCCTTAGCTTGGCTTATTTCTAGCCAGCTCTTATTAACTTGTATTATCCTGTCTACCTTTTGTCACTGGGCTTTTATCTGTATCCTATATACATTTCTTCTTATTTCGTAGCTTGCTGTGTGGCTGGGTGGCTGGCCCCTGGAGTCTTCCTCCTTCTCTTTCTCCTAGATGCCTCCCTCCCCAGATTTCACCTCCAATTTATTCTCTCTACCTGCCAGCCCAGCCTATCCTTTCTCCTGCTTTGCTATTGACAGGTTAGCTCTTTATTATACTAATCAGGTGTTTTAGACAGGCAAAGTAATACAGCTTCACAGAGTTAAACAAATGCAACATAAAAGAATGCAACATATTTTGCATCATTAAACAAATGTTTCATAGCATAAACAAATGTAACATATCTTAAAATAATATTCTATAACACATACATACACAAACATGCACATACAAGAAATCTGCACACACAAAATTACATTCTTGTGAGGACGAATGTAATACAGTATATAAACATGCTCTTAATTTTTCTCATAGAATTTATTTTATTACATTTTAATGTGTGTGTGTGTGTGTTTGTGTGTTGTACTAAAGCACTCATTTAGAAATCAGAGGACAACTTGTTGAAGTTCATACTCAGTTTCTGCCTTGCAGAGGCCTGGTGATTGAACTCAGTCAGTCAGGCTTGGCAGCAAATGCCCTTACTGGTTCTCTTACCCTCTGAGACTAAACAAATGCAAATCCAGAGGGAATATTGAAGCAAAGTTTTAGTTTCTTGCCCCCCCCCAAGATTTTCTAGTTAAACACTATTTCAGCCACATGTGATGCAACACTAGACATGTTATCCAACTCTCCTGGCTCCGTTTTTGTACAAATTAAACATGATATAAGCAACCAGATTTCTAAGGATTTGTGGAGATTTGAGCAATTTCATACAAGGTTAGAATAGTAACCAGCAGAACAAGCACTTTGCTACCTTTCTATCACTGTTAATATTTAAAACATAGTAAATCACACTGCTCATTTAGACTAACTTAACGAAGAGATAAAGGACTAAATCATTTGGCCAAGACCATATGGCTAGAAATGGGAAGATCAAAATTGAAGATGAGTTGTCTTCTGATTTTTCTTTTATATAACAAAGATTAATTTCACCGGTGTCACTGAGATGATTGGCGGTCCACTAACCTCACCAAGTGTGTACAAACAGAGCCACAGCGAGAATTAAACAAACAGAAGTAACAAAACCAATCGCAAACAAAGCCCTCCATCACACCTGTTCTGCCATTTCCCTCAGTGTGCTCCTCAGCCACAGCCTAGCTGGCAGCATCCTACCTTGGAGCTTAAGCGGTTCCTAAACTCATATCCTTTGGTAAATCTGCTCAAATCATCTGTGGGCCTCTCATAGCACAGTTGATGCTTAGATCTTGGTTTTTGGCTGATATGCAAAAATTAAGAAGAACAAGAAACTCCCTGAGAGACTCCACAGCTGTGCATGTAAAAGAACAAATTTCTTCAAATAAGAGCTGGAAGAAAATAGGAACCGAAAGTCCTCAACTTAATTTACCTCCCGGGACTTCCCCTTGGATTTGCATTTTGTGGAAGTCTCAGAAAGCCTGGCCCTGTGTGCTACTGCTAATTCCATCTTCCCTAGCCAAAGTACCAGAAGTCCTACAGTTTGGGGAACCTTCTCTGCCACCGGGGAGGCCAGCATCTCTGTAAATCCTCATTTAGTAGTGAAGACAGCTGTGAGCCCTTCAAACTGGTAAGTAAAATTAATCAGTTTATCTAGGTAGATTTGAACCCACCCAAAGAGTCCCAAAGTGCAGTGCTAATCCTTGAGCTAAGAAGTAGCCATCCAAATGCAGGACAGATGGTTCTGCCTGACTTCCAGGCAGAGGGGAGGATGGGACTTCCATCAAATGATAAAACAAAAGACGATTTGATGATAACTAAGGACGGGGAAGCTCAGAACAACACGAGACACAATCGGAGAAATTTCCCAGGAAGAAAGTTGATGATTTGACTAGAATCAAAGCCTGCACCTCTTCTCAGCACTGTGATTCTAGACTGTTCAGACAGCCACACATCTGCCTGTTTGCTGTTGTGCATTCTCTTGCTACTTACTTTTTCTTTCATTGGAAATAGGGTATGATCTATGCATCCTCTCATTTTAACACACATACTAGTTTCTTTACATAATGGGGGCTCAGGGACTATCACTATTCAATTTGGATTATAAAAATGTGATTTATATTTATTTTTCAGGAACACAGCTCTTGAGGCAAATAAAATACACCCATTTCATGCTTTACTAGGAATGATATATCTTTCACTCCATAGACCAGACTGGTCTCAGACTCAGAGATCTGCCCGCCTCTGTCTCCAGACTGCTGGGGTTACAAGTGTGTGCCACCACTGCCTGGCTTAGAAAGGATATTTTAAAGAATTTGTGGAAAAACACTTTCTTCAGTTGAAAACAGTGGACAATGGAGCTTTCTGTTCACCTAAAGTTTTAAACGAACAGATGTGAATTACTTTTCATGTCATAAATCTCTTGAAGATAAAATAACCTGAATAATCTTTGAAAGTTAAAAAAAATACCTGGCTGCAGAAATTTATACTTAGTATTAGAGACTGAGAACTGAGTCTAGTTATGATAGCTAGCTAGCTGTCATCTGTCTGTCTGTAGTTGGGGAGTGATACAGGACAACTCGCTGAAGTTGGCTCCCTTCTTATCTCATATGTGAGTCTGGGACTGAATTCAGGTGATCTGGCCTGCTGAGCCATCTTTCTGGCCCCATTTTTAAAAGAAATTTCTGAACAAAAAATATCTGAGATGAAGAATGGTTCATTTTCTGAGTTAAGTCTCCTCAAAAGACTACTGTGATTGGTACTGCCGCCAGAGACCATGTTGATGTCTGAGATCCACGCTGCCAATGGAAACCATGTAAATGTTTATGACCCATGCTGCCAATGGAAACCATGTGGATGTTTATGACCCATGCTGCTGCAGGCTGCTATGGGTAGGGAAGCTTTCTTTGTGCGGTATTGATGACCACAGACTCATAACTGAGAATGAGAGACTTTGAAGACTCTCTGACAGCTCCCCCCCCCCAAAAAAAGAAAAGAAACAGTCGGAAGCTACTGAAGAGAGTCCTTAAGAACTGTGATAAAGTTGCTGAGATGGAGCTCTTCATAGTTGATGTCTCCTGGCAGGAGTGGAGTTGGGAAGGACTCAGTTTTCTTTAAGGGTCTGACCACTGGGAGTTTGACCATGCTCCAGTGAGTATATGGACAACACAAATTGGACTTAGTGGGTTTTTTTTGGTGGGGGGGGTGTGGGTTTCAAGGGTAGGAAGGTGAACCTGGGAGGAACGAGAAGTGAGTGTGGTGGGGTGCATTCTGTTATGGAATAATCCTTTTGTTTACCATGAGTATGTATTACTCTAAATGGTTAATAAAGAACTGACTGACTGATGGCTAGGTAGGGTTTCGGGGGCAGAGAGGATGCTGGGAAGGAAAAGGGCAGTGTCTGAGGCATCTCAAGGAGACAAGATAAGATGCAGAGCAAGGAGGACGGGAAATATATACAAGAGGCAAAGGAGCCTCAGGGCAGCAGCACATAGATGAATAGAAATGGGTTAATTTAAGTTATAAGAGCTAGCTAAAAACAAGCTTAAGCCATTGGCTGAGCATTTATAATTAATATTAAGTCTCGGTGTGGTGATTTGGAGAGTGTCTGGGGGGGGAGACAGCAAATTCCACCTACAGCATTGTATGAAATTCCCAAATAATTAATAAAAATATTACGTTGGAAATAAATATTTCTTAACTGGTTTTTGAAAATATGGATTCTAACCGTGATTATCTACACAATTTGACTATATTTATTGGTTAAATTAAACTTAGATATTATTTTCCCAGTTTTACAGATGTGAGAACAAAGAAGCAGGGACAGAGAGAGGCTGAGTGGAGCTGGGCTGGAATGTGACTGGGGCTGGGCTTTACTTCCGTTGGCGTATGTGCTGGTTAGCTTTTTTGTTTGTTTGTTTGTTTTCCAGTTCGACTCAAGCCAGAGTCTTCTGGGAAGAAAGAACATCAACCGAGAAAATATCTCTCCATCAGACATCCTGTAAACAAGTCTGTGGGGCATTTTCTTGATAAATGATCGAATGTGGGAGGCCCCACCCACTGTGGGTGGAGCCTTAGCTGCACTCCTCCATGACCCTGCCTTAGACTCTGATTTCAGGTGTTTCCCTGAGCTCCTGCCCTCACTTCCCTCAGTAAAGGACTGTGACCTGTTAGAGAAAAAGAAACTCTTTCCTCCCTAAGTGAGTTTTGGTCGTGGTATTTTGTCATAGCAATAGCAAACAAACTGGGACAGCATGGGGTCGCTCTAAGCTGGTGGGACTAGCTAAATGACTTGGTAAAGTTAGACCTCCATGAGTCTCTGTTCAATTAGCTGCTTCAGCTAACTGAGACTTGATTATCTGTTTCTATTTTAAAACCATTTCGGCAGGTAGTTTACTTTTTTGGCTACCCATTAGAGTGGAGACATGAGTTTTTTAAAACTCTTTTTCTCCCCCCCCACCCCCAAAAAAACCTTTACTAAGGACAATGGTGCTCCTTGTCTTTAGTCCCAGCTACTCAAGAAGCTGAAGCAGGACAGTGTGTCCTGGAGAGGCCTCTCCCTGGTGATTAGTGCACGGACTAAGCATAGTACACTGACATTGTAGGATGTGTCTGCCAGGGAGCCAACTTTCAGCATCCAAGATGCAGCAAAAACAAGCAAAGAGGACACAGATCACATCTTGGTGTAGGTGGACTTTGACTTTCTCCTTTTTTTTTTTTTTTTTTTTTTTTACTGAGAATGCTATTTGAAAGAGTGGAGAAATTTTAAAACATCTTCCTTGGTTGACATGTATGAAGATATCTGTATCTGCACATGCTATGGTCCATAGTAAAGTTGAGCTTTCACTCTCTCCTCCATGACTGCCTAGGTCTGCTTTGCATATGCCTTCCCCAAAGACATATTCCACTGTATTGGATAAGTTCTGTAGGGAGACACTGAAACCCCTCCACACACTCTTGCTAACTAGGTATAAAGGAGTTAATAACTAGAAGGCTAAAAAGATATTTGAGTGTGTGACTGTGACTCTGGGTCATATCACTTTGTATCTGGGATATTTACAGACAGCAGGGCAGTACCTTTGACTTGGACGCTTTTAAACTACATTAAATTGTTTCTCATGGTTCTAGAGGCTGCGTTGTTCAATATCAAGGGCGATGAGAAAAGATCCAATTCTGGAAGCATCTGGAGTCTCCTGCTTCTTGAATGAGCAGAGAGTATCTGAGATCACCGGGGAGTGCTGAGCCAGACAGACAATCATCAGTGAGTTTTTAGATAAAAGGCTAGGAATTGTGACAACTCTCATGTGATGTCTAAAATTATTTGGGTGTCTCCTATGAACTAAGGTGGATGTAGATATCAGCTAGGGACAAATGAATCTTTTAACACAGAACTTCTCAGTATGTGACCCTGGCATCCAGCAACACTTGTGGGTTTGTAGGAACCACAGATCCCAGACTCTACCTCCCAGCCATGAATGAGTCCTATTCAGACTTTATGGGGGTAACCATTCTGCAAATTTCCCAAGTATCAAAAATATTAAGTGATAACATACTTCTCTTTGTCCCTGCATGGCATCCTGTCCTGGGCCCTGGCCAAAGGCACAGAAGAAAAGGCAGTTGGGGAACATAAGGAGTGGACAGTTCTAGTTGTTTTTCCTGTTCTTTCATTTCATTTCCTTTTTAAATTTATTTTTGTGTATATAAAAGATATAAGTGTTTTTGCCTTATGAGTGCCTCTGAGGCCAGAAGAGGGCTTTGGATCCTTAGGAACTAATTACAGATGCTTGTGAGCGCCATGTGAGTGCTATGAACTGAACCCAGGTCCTCTGGAAGAGCAGCTGGTACCCTTAACCACTGAGCCACCTCTCCAGCCCCTACTCTTCATTTAAAAGCATATTTCAATCAGCTCATCCCTCCCCTCACATTGAAGATAGTTTTGGAGACACAGTCTTACCAAGTTACTTAGTCTGGCCTTGAACTATATCTGTAGCCCAGGCAGGCTGTTAAGGTTCCATACTCCTGCCTCTGACTCTTAAGTAACTGAGATTACAGGCCTGCATCACCAGGTCAGACTTACAGTTTAAAATAAGTCATTGCCCCAGATGTGATGGTACACTGCTGTAATGTCACTGTGTGGGGAGCTGGGGTGAGAAGACCCTGAGTTCAAGGAAAGGCTGGGCACAATGAGATTCTTTCTCAAAACAACATAAATGATATTTTGTTGAAATACCTATTATATGGCCTAGATTATTTTTACTATCCTTCTTATTAGAAACCTAAAGCATCATGAGGGTAGACAACCTAACCAGTTTATAACAAATGAGAACAAGATGACATGATTCATCAGCCCTAAATGACCAATGGTTCATATTTGGTGTAGTCTCATGTATTTTTGTTTTGTTTTGTTTTCAAGACAGGGTTTCTCTGTGACTTTGGAGGCTGTCCTGGAACTAGCTCTTGAAGACCAGGCTGGTCTGGAACTCACAAAGATTCACCTGCCTCTGCCTCTGCCTCCCAAGTGCTGGGATTAAAGGTGTGTGCCACCAACGCCCAGCCCAATCTCATGTAATTTTTTGATGTGTATTATAAGGTTGAGAGCATACTGAAGACCTCTTTCTTTCTATAGGATTTCACAAACATTTGTTATTAGAAACAAAATTTCATAAAACATCACTTATGATACCCTGGATACCCACGGTATGTGAATATTGTTGTTTATTAGGTATTTCCATACAGGGACTTAGTTTTATCCTACAAAATAAATTGCATAAGTTCAAGGTCACAAAAAGTTGGATGAACACTGAGGCCTTGTCGTTTTAGCCAGGAAGTGAAGTTGAGAATGATATAAGCACTATCCTGTCCAACTAAACAACATTTTACAAGGATATAGAATAATGTTTTTATGACAAGACTAGGTCAGATGAGTGACATAATAGAAAATGTCACATGCATTAAAGAGTTGGTCTGTGACTTCTCAATGGGGGAAACAAAACAATGGCATGAGTTAGAAAATAATTCTTAAATTGTGGTTTGGCTTTGCTAGTAGTAGTCACACAGATTGTCCCTCTCTCCTTTCTTCCCTCCCTCCCTCCCTCTCTCCCTCCCTCTCTTCCTCCCTTCCTCCCTTCCTCTTTCCCTCTCTTCTCTCTTCCTTTTTCTATCTCTGTGTTTCATTATTTAGGAACCCTTTCTGGGTTGACTGCAGATCTCCTCTCTCCAGCTTCCTTCCTGTTAAGCATCCATCTGCAGTAACAGTAAAAACATGCTGCCCGTGAAGGTGCTGACAAGACTTACAGCTCAGATGGGAAAACACATTCTAATGCATGGTAAAAATGATGCCTCCATAATGGGGTTTGTGACTTATGAGCACAGCCTGGGTGTCCCATGTGCACAAAAGACTGTTACTTGTGGCAGGGAAGAACTATTTGGATCAAATTAAACACAAGTGAAATGTCTTCTTTGCAATATTATTTAAATATTTTCATGAGTTATTTAGTTAAATTTTATGGATTTTTTTGATAATTTTATAAAATGCTCCTTGATAATGGCATTCTCTTCATGACTTTCTTTATTTTAACAAAATATCTCTGTAAAAATACAGCTACAGTTTTCACATGCTTTATTTTCTGCATAATGATATGTGAGCATATCATGTGACTTGTGTATATCATGGGGGTGTATTATGGATTAAAACACAGAATTTGCATTTCATGGACCATCCTAAAATTCAGTGAAATTGCATTTGGATGCAAAGAGGAAGGAGTAACATGTGGCTTGAATTTTCTTTAAAACACACAAGGGCAAGTTAAAGGGGGAAGTGCTCAGGACAGAGTATATCTGGGGTTCTGCCAACCTTGTGGCAGTTAAACAATGGTTTAATGCTGAGTTCAAAACCCAAGCAGAACCCTCCAATCTCCCCCAAAGGGCATGAGGTAGCACTTGAACTTTGAAAGATAATATTAATGGAAATACTTTGAACGAGCAACATGGGAGCATCGAACTTGAAAAGATTGCTTTGCCCTCCAGAATTCAAGGACTTAGCATCTGCATTTGGGTCTCCACTCGGCCCTTAAACCCTTAACAAAAGTTACTCCTGGTTTGTGTATTTGTTTTTTAGTTTCCCATTTCAACACCAACTCCACCCTGACCCTGCACCCTGGCCCGAACAACAGACACAGCAATCTTGTCACAAATGCCACCACTCAAGATGGGATTGAGCATGCTCCTCAAAGGTCCTTCCTTCCCCTGAGGAGTGAGGACTCCCTTGTGCCGTAGCTCTGGATTATTTTGTGTCCTTTAGGACTGGCAGTTTCGGCAGGTGAATGGATTTTGAGGGGAGCATGTGGCTTTGGTGATCCACGAGCCTTCTCCTAGGCAATTCTATTTCCATGTACACACTCTCCTCTGACTCCTGTACTGGTGCCAAGCTGGCAAACATCACCTTTGAGTCCCAGGAGGAGATGTGTTGAGCCGTCCAGCCCCTACCCCCTGTGTCAAGATGTTTGGAATTGAGCAGTGTCACTTTCAGTCAACTGGCTCGGATTCCTAGGAATGCAACTGGTTGTCCTCCCTGGCTGGACTAATGCCAGATTACTTAAGGAGATAATTGACCACAAGCCAGCCTGGTTGACAGACCTCCTAAGTGCCAGATGCCAACTGTGCCAATGGGCCCTTGCAGGAGGGCCTGCTTTCCTCGAGACCATAGCTAAATGTGGCTTCATTCTCTCTTAGCCTGCAGCTCGGTCCCCCCCCCCGCTTTTTATTTTTTATTTTCATTTTTAGGAGAATAAAATAAAATTGATTTGCCCAAGTTATTTTCTTCCTGTCTGTAAGGACAAGCACATCTACACTAACCTCCTCTCCCTCGCTGCTTTTTCCCCACCTTTCTTAGGGGCTTCATTAGTTCAGTTGAGTGGGGGTATGGCCTGAGTAATTGCAGCCTTCTCTACCACCTTGGCACCCAAGAACTTAACTGGGTGTTCTGTACCCAGTGCGTGGCCTGCTTTAGAAAATGAATTTTTAATCACACCTGTAACCCAAGAAGTTCATAAATTATAATTGTTTCTTTTCATCTCACCTATGTTTCAAATTAATTTTCTGTTTTCTAATATGTAGAGGGTGAAGCCACATACCCAAATGAGAGCTACTAAAGTAACACACAGTTAACTACTAGCTTTATGCCAGCATCAGTGACTTACATAAACTCAATATAAACTCAGCTTGTTTGAAATAAACAGAGGGTCTTTAAGCAGGACTGCTTTGGTATATGATAACAGTAATCTGATCCCTGTGTTAAGCAAGAAGCCGGGGATGGGTGTCCTCTCTTTCTAGTATCCCACAGGTGTGCCACAAGTGTTCTGCCAGGTTCCAGGTTCCAGGCCTGGCAGCATCTGTTCAAGGGATAGATGCCCTCACAGTGGGGTCAAATCCCATTTGAGTCGGAAGGTGTGGGAACAGAGGAGGTGTCTGCCTGGGGACAACCCTCCCCTTAAGGATCAGAGCATCCCCCTTTGCTTATTTTAACGAATGCTGTCTTGATGGTATGCCCAGCTTCATTGGGACACCGGGTTTCTTCCTGAAACATGAGCTTGAACACAATCATTGTGGACTTCACTTTGCCTTCCCACCTTTCCCTCTTTCCTCAAACATGAAACAATCAGTTTTCCCCACTGAGGCAGAAGGGGTACCCAGCAGGGGCTGGGTGCAGGAAGGATCCTGGAAATGGTCCACTAATTGTTTGCTTCATGTTGGGGACAGAGAGAAGGTCCCAGAATTGGGATCATTGGCATCACTAAAAATTACCAGGAACCATTCTGCCTGGTCCAGAAGAAAGAGGTGTTCCTTTCTTGAAGAACCGCCTAGGAGACAGGAGCTCTTTCTTAGGATCAAATACCAATAGATCCTAGGCTCCTAGCTGGGCTTCAAGCACCAACTAATTGGAAAGTGGACAGGCAGTGAAGTCAGGCTCCAAATTCTCCCCGAATCTCTGACCCCCATATCTATGTATCTCTGCCTCTCTTTTCTCTTTCTACCACCGAATACTAGTGGAATAGAAAATCCACGTAAAGCTGGACAAACTCTCCAATTGATTGAGTCCTACTAGTGAGGCTGTTACCTAAAATGTGTCAAAACTTTGTAATACACTGTATTGAGATTTGTAAAAGAGGGATGTGCACAAATGCCGTTTGTTTTATTATTTGTTTTGTTTTGTTTTTGTTTTTTCAGCGTCTACCCCAAACATACCCCAACAATATTGCTGAGTAACTCCCCGTTTTGTCTCTTTGC